TAACCCATCCCTGGTGGTTTATTCACAACTCACGTTAACGGCACTGACGTTTTAGGATGCCAGCGACGCTCTTAACCGGAGAAAGGCGAGTCACTTGAGTAATGAACTATACAGAATTGCTCTAAACGCCTTCCTCAGAATTTCTAGGGAAGGGAAAAAAAAAAAAAATCAGACTACTCTACATGAACAGCTACCTATTAACCATCAAATTTTAAAATATTTATATATTTTAGGCAGCTTCATCCTTCAGCTGTGGCTATCTCTGCCCGCTGATGACAGGAGGCCAACTGCGGCGTTTTTTCCAGCAGTGCCACAAACCCTTCTGCTACCTCCTAGCACACTCAGAAACTTCATGTGGTGGGAAAAAAAGGGAGAGAGAGAAGAACACATTGCTTCCTCTTCCAAGCATGGCAGCTGAGGGAGCAGAGACTCCAGTCGAGGATGCTGCATTTCCCTTGCGTGCGTGCAGGGAGTGTTGGTGGCACCAAGTGGCACTCACTCACCACATGCCTCTATCCTATTGGAAAGCCCAGGTGTGCCAAGAGCAACCAAGTGCAAAGGAAGAACCAAACCAGTCCACGTTAGCTTCAGGTGATGTCTTGGCTGCTGAAGAAAACCCAAGTCCTTGAGGACGTGCCCACAGACCGTGTTCGGGAGCTGAGCGCTAACCGCTGTCTGTGACCCTGCCTGCCCATCCTTCCGCTATTTAAAGATTTTGTTACAAATGGGTGTGCTGCTCAGCTAATGGAGAGCTTAAAATAAAAAAGTTCCCGGTGATCCTTCAGCAGCAGAGATGGTGATGACCTCAGTTTTAGGTGGTATCAAAGAGCACCTTGTGGCTGCAGATCCCCATACGCCAAGGCAGGCCAGGAGTTTCAAGGTCTCCCTCTGATGGCTTATTTCCACCCCAGGCTGGGGCAGACATGACCCTGCCAAGCATTTTTTCTTTTTTTAAAAACCCTTTCCCAGTGCTGCAGAGACCCCTCTGTCCTGGGACTATGAGATATATGTGGGGGCAGAAAACTGCCAGCAAAGGTGTCTCACCAACACCTGGTGAACCTCCTCCACGAGCCCTGGGTGCTCCCCACCAGGCTGCCAGAAAGGTTTCTCAGGGGAGGAGAAGCAAGGAAGGACAGAAAGCCAGGGATGGGAGGGACAATGGGGTATCTCCTGTCTCCCACTCAGGCACCTCCGCCCGGTGAGGTGGTAACAGTGGTTTGGGGAGGAACAAAGGTGCAAGAGAAGGCTTTGGCGATGGCTTAGGATGGAGGAACCACTTCAGTTCCAGAGCAACGCAAGCCCCAGCTCCATACTGAAACCAGCCCTGACACAGCCTCCTCATTCAGTCAGCTCTTTCTGGAGGTCCTCAAAGCCAGTAGGAAGTCTACAAAGCCCTTTCCAGTCTTTGCTGGATTTTCTCCAAGCCCCTGGTGTGCAGTGAGGCGCATGTGGCTTCGGTTCTCCCAAGAGCACCTAAAATCTTTGCAGCATCTTCTGCCCTGCCAACTCCTCAGCACACCGCTTCAGCTCGGCTGCCTGCCCATGAATGTTGGGACCTCTGCTCCTCCTTCCTGGGGTGCATCAAAAAGAGTGTGTCCAGCAGGTCAAGGAAGGTCATCCTCCCCCTCTACTCTACACTGGTGAGGCCCCCTCTGGAGCACTGTGTCCAGTTCTGGGCTCCTCAGTTCAAGAAGGACGGGGAACTGCTGGAGAGGGTACAACACAGGGCTACAAAGGTGATTAGTGGCCCGGAGCATTTATCTCATGAGGAGAGGCTGAGGGACTTGGGTCTTTTTAGTCTGGAGAAGAGAAGACTGAGGGCAGATCTGACCAACACCTATAAATACTTAGAGGGTCGGTATCAAGAGGATGGGGCCAGTCTTTTTTCAATGGTGCCCAGTGACAGGACAAGAAGGAACGAGCACAAACTTGAACATAAGACATTCCATCTAAACATGAGGAGGAACTTCTTCACTTTGAGGATGGCAGAACACTGGAACAGGCTGCCCAGAGAGGTGGTGGAGTCTCCATCTCTGGAGACATTCAAAACCCACCTGGACACGTTCCTGTGCAGCCTGCTCTAGGTAGACCTGCTTTGGCAGGGGGGTTGGACTAGATGATCTCCAGAGGTCCCTTCCAACCCCATATCATTCTGTGACCTTCTCCCAGTCTGTCTCACCAGCCACAGCCTGAGCAACTCAAACAACCCTCAGCCAGTGCCCACAGCTCAGGGATACATGGAGCATCCTCGCTGCTCCCGTTCCAGGGACAGGGCTTCTCATTTCTACCCACATCTCGCAGGGGGATAGCTCTTGAAAAATAAGATTAGCGGCCTTTGCAGCAGACTTATTCGGCGTATTCGGATCTTAATTTACCAGCTCCGCTCCAGCAGCCTCGCGGTGCAGAGCTGCACTGTTTTTTCTCTCTTTCTGCCTAGGACTTTACGTGGTTTTGAATTTCACTACACTGCAAAAAGGCCCCTGCTCTTGTTTCTCCAGATCGCTCTGGTTCTGTCCTCTTCCATCCACTCCTTCACTTTAAAGGGGCAGGGGAGAGGAGGTTTTTCCACTGTTATTACAGCCTGCATCTTCCCATCACTCCCCAAGGACAATATTAAATACCGATATTCGCTTACAAGCTTCTTTTCCCTGTACACAACGTTCAGTCTGGTTTTTTTGACCCGGACTCCAAAGCCATGGTTTACAGAGCACGTACAGAAAAACTGGTTTCCTCGCCTTTTTTTCCAGTGGCTGTACAGACACAGCTTAGTGTGATCCACCTGCTCCTACCCACTTTATTTTTTCGTTCTCCACAAACTGGCAATTATGCCAAAGGATAAGTTTGTTTTACATGATCTGCTTTATGTAAGCGCGTTTGGCAATTCTTAAACTTTTATCTGGAGCATCCACATGCTGGAATATTTCCCATTGGAACTGTTCTCGGTATAAGTTAACAAATACCATAGATAAATGGGATGGGGGAATAAGCAAGAAAGACTTGTTTATACAGCTATTGAAACCCATGCCAGGTTAGGGAACGCGGAATAGGATGAAACCTCTTCAACTCCATTTTAGTCCATACCAGGATCGCACCATCCTATTAAACAGCCACACAACAACCTGGAGGAAAGGACTAGGATCCTTGGCTCAAATTACATTTTGGAGTGGTCCTGGATCGAGACACCTGAACTCCCTGCTCTTTGCAGGGCAGAGGACACAGGTGAGGGGCTGCGAGCCCCTGCCTCAGCCAGCCGTTGGGGATAAGGCACCAAACCTCACAAAACTCTGCTGCCTTTCCCTCCACACCAATTCCCTGGCAGGGCTGGAAGGGTCTCGGCAGTAGGTGCCTGTGCCAGCACATTCAGCACACCCAGCCTTCCTAGGAACTACAGGAGGGCAGGGAAACACAAGCTTCTGCAGGCAGCTCAGCAGCCAAGAGCCCTGCATGATTCACATGAACCCCTGCAGGGCAAAGCCGTGCCAGTGGGACCTGGAGGAGACAGTGGTCGAGAGTCCCCCACCCATGCACAAGGAATCCCTGTTTGTGCCTTCTGAGGAAATAGGCGTTTCTCACCTCTCTGATCCTGCCCACATATTTCTCAGTGCACTCAGATCTTGCCGCGGGGCACTCGGTGCTATTTGATTTATCCAGAGGGATAAATCCCCCTCCGCACTTTTCTAAACTGGCACAACACAAGCACCTTGAACCTGCACACAGCAGGGCTTGGCTACACACTGGCCTTGACTGCAGCATCCTCTGCTGCTTTATCCTGATCCCTTTCCATTCCCCTCCTCCTTCATAAGGTGACCAGCATGGAAAGAAAAATAAATCCGGGAAGGAAACCAGCCAAGTTCCCTCACTTGTCCTTTCTCCTGTAATCTCCTCTAGCCTGCTCCTGACTTTGCCTGGTGCTTTATCACATCTCCCCACGGAGGTACCAGGTGCTGTGGCACAGCGGTCACCCCTGAGGCCTCCCCGTGTTTGTCAGGGAAAGGCTCCTTCCCCGGGGAGCCAGCCAGGCTGAAGGGGAAGGCTGGAGCAGGGAGGGAAGAGGCTCGCTTGCCGCCTGCCGTCAGAAGCCTGAACTGAAGAGGCTGTTGGCTGCAATCCCGACGCCTCCACCGGCTCGCCCAGGCCTCGGCTGACCCGATGCACAGCCAGTAGACCAACAGGACCCCTCCTCTCCTCGCTGCCCACCTCTCCGCTCTGACACGAGGATGCACATCTGCATCTTCAAGGCAGCTCACATCGTAATGTTGTTTCAGTTCGATCCACCTGTGACTTCCTGCTGTGCACTACCAGAAGCCTGTACAGAAAAACCCTGTTACAAACCCCACCTGCCCTCTACAACTCTGCAGCTGGCCTGCATCAAGCTAAATGATGTGCATTTTGCCTACAAAACCCAGTGATCTCAATTTTCATAAGGTGGTTTGGGTTGGAAGGGAACTCAATGATCATTTACTTCCAACCCCCCTGCCACAGGCAGGGACACCTCCCACTAGACCAGGCTGCTCAAAGTCCCACCCAGCCTGGCCTTGATCACTTCCAGGAATGGGGCATCCACAGCTTCCCTGGGCAGCCTGTTCCATTGTCTCACCACCCTCACAGTGAAAAACTTGTTCCTGATATCTAATCTAAATCTGCCCTCTTCCAGTTTGAAGCCATTACCCCTTGTCCTATCACTACAAGCCCTTGAAAAAGTGCCTCTCCAGCTTTCCTGTAGGCGCCCTTCAGATCCTGGAAGGCCACTATAAGGTCCCCCCAGAGTTACAGTTTAACTCCAAGCCATAATCCAATGCCAAAACTCAGCAAATAACTAAGTAGGGGACAAAGGCTTTAAAGTCACCTGCATGGGCTCAGGCCACTTTTACAACAGAAGCTTGCCTTGCTGCAAGGTGCAACCCCCTATTCTGGAGGAACAGAGGGTTTCACCAGGAGGAGCTGTCACACCCACACACGACATTGTAAGGAAGAGAGCAAGCCACATAGGTACCAATGAGTGTAGCTATAAGTTATTTATTCTGCAAAATAGAGGTATCTTCTATGGAGTTGAACACTGGAATCACAGCATTATGAATCGAGTTGTGGAAACATTATGACAGCACACACACACGCAGGCACACACGCGTACACTTACACACACGCGCGCACACACACACACACAGCCTTTGTACAGGCCCCTACTCTCGCGTTATCCAGAGGGAGCCCTCTCTGCAACTTTATTTTTGAAAAAAAAAAAAAAACCAAACTGCAGCGAGGGTTGCATTCAAGACCCCTTCCCCTCCTACTCACAGGGCTTCCGAGGGAAGGAGGGTGGTGAGGATGGGGTGCACGGCACCGGCAGCACGTGTGCGGGGAGCGCTGCTCGCGCCCCCCAGCCCAGTGTTCGGCACGTCCCAGATAGGAGTTAACTCTTGGCAGAACACAGCCCTTCGGAGGAGCACTCTCAGTCTTGCCTCAGCCTTTGCTTACGCGGCCGAGCGCAAGGTGCCTGGAGGAGGCAAGTTCCCACGTTAGGACACAGTCAGGGCACCCTGCTCACCATGGTCCATGTTCCAAAGCCGGTAAAACTCCGCAAAATCCACGTAGGGCTCCACGCGCCCATCTTCATCTGGCTGGAGAGAGTGGGTGGGTCGGGAGCGGAAGAGACCCCCGTCGGAACTGGAGCTGCTGCTCTGCGTGTGAGTATTAGTGGACTGGAGGGTCACCGTTGGGCTTTGGCTACGGGGAGAAAAAGAGAGAGAGTGAACACAAATATCTTTATTTTTCCCCCCCATCTGATGCTCAGGACAAGAAAAGCACCAGAACAAGTGCTGGCTTCTTCACAAATCAAGCTATCCTTAGCAAACAGGTAAAAAAAGTTGAAGTTTTTTGCTCTATCAGAGCACTAGAATTGTTGAGAACTGCCTGGAACTGAATGCCAAAGATATCTGACACACCTTTAGCTGGAAAGCCGTAAGTACAACCAGGCGCCTGAGGAACAGAGAAGAGTAAGAAGGGAAAAAAATTTAAAAAAAGAGGAGGCATGCACTCTGCTGGCCTCCTCATATCCATACAGCATGAGCTTTACGGGAAGAGTCTGGCAGCAAGGAAAGCCATTCTTGCATGACCTGCATTGCAGCCAAAGCAGCTCTGGTGTGTCAGGCTCATTGTTTCTGGAGCTACCAGAACACAATAGCTAGAGAGCTTCTTCACTTTGCAGTGGGTACACACACTACCCCGTGCCCTAAACCAGAGCCACTAACTAGTATGACCCTGTAAAGTGGATCCAAATAGGATCCAGATCTAACCTTCATTCTTTTTCCTGACCTGGCCTCTGCCTCTGAGCAAGCCAACTTGTTTACTGCAGCCTCTCAGCAGCCTTACAGGTGACGTGCATCACCCCCCTTCCTCATTAAAACAAGAGGCACCACACTCCCTCCCTGTGCAGCACCCAAAACTCTCAGCACGCAAGATCCAAAGAGAAGGGCTGCTGGCTGCCAGAGTGCCCTCTGCGAGCAGCAACAGATGCTGCTCCCAAGGCATGTTCCCAGAGCTGGCTCCAGAGCTGCTCGCTTTACTCATTCCCACCCCTCACAGCGCTGCCTTCCAGCTAACACGTTATGCTGGCTTGTCAATACTGCAGTCAGGAGGGCAACGCTCCAGATAAGGGAATGATTGACAGATAACTGACAAGTGTCTCTCTGCTTTTCAACCACTTTACACGGTGTGAGGTGCTGGGGAAGACTGCGGGTAGCAAGAGAACAGGATGCTTACTTTGTGAGGGTGGGGGTGGCTTCATCCAGAGTTGAGCTGCTGTGGGCACCATTGACCATCTGGCCCTGGGAAGGCATGACAAGAGACAGCGTGACACTCGTCTTGCTTGTGCTTTGGGAGCTGGAATACGGCACTGAGACTGGGTAGACACGGCCTCCTGAGAAAGGAGAAAATAAGAGTTATAAACTGCAGTTGAGACATGAGTGACTGGAGGCAAAGAAAGTCAAAGGAAGGGCCAAAAACCCCAAGAATTTGTACTACACTGCCTTTCTTAGATACTGCACTATATTCTGTCAAATTACCAGACTCTGGATCTCAGAAACCAATAATCCCTTTAATACGAAAATTCCTTCTACACTGAGTATCTCCTCTCCCAATGTTAGGTCAGTGCTGGATTGATTAAGAGATCTTATCTTCCACCCTCTGTTCGATTTCGTTCTCTCCCCAACACACCTTGCGTTGGTGTCAGCGTGGGCTGGCTCATCTCACCCAGGGGGTACCCAAAATTCCTCACAAGCAGCGTCATGTCTTCATGCCTGGGACAGAACTTGGACCTTTCCCCACCACTGGCAAAAGTGTCGCAGTGGATCCGCTTAACCCGGTCCACTACTGCTTGCGCCACGGCATCCAGCGACGTCTGCTTGGCAAACTCTGTGGCTATCATGGCTGCAATTTCCTGAGCCAAGAAGGAAAAAAGAAAAAAGACAGAGAGAGAGAGAGAGAGAAAGGATGTTTAGGAGATTTTAGAGGAAACCTTTTCCAGCCATCCGACCTCAGGGTTGTTACGGCAACTCATCTGACTGCAGAGCTTGCCAGTCTCAGGTGCTGATATGTGCCCCGGTGCCTTGAATCATCCCATTCCCTTTATCGGGCTACTCCTAAGGGACAGGCAACTGCCTGGAAGAACTGGCTTGGCAAAGCAGGTCCCATATTATTACAGACTGGAATGGGGTGGCACAGGCATTCAACCTGGTCAGCACTCACAGGACAGACGAGGAGGAAAACCTGTGTGAGAGCAGCTGACACTGCTGGAGTGGGTCAATAGCCAAGGGAACGTTTCCTCCCGCGAGCAGGCTCACCTGGTTGGCCTGCCCAGGCCCGTGAGCTGCCTCCAGCGCTTTGTAGAGCCCTTCAGACATGAGGACCAAGAAGCCAGTCACCCCATCCAGTGAGTGCCCTCCATGGATCTCAGGCTCTGCTATGATGGGCTTAGATTTAGCAGCACTGCAAAGAGATAGTGTTATTTAGTATCTAACGGTGACAAAGTACGTGAGGTGAAAATGGAAAGGAGGGCTTGAAACCACAAGGTTAAGTTTCTCTGACCTGAGCAGTTCAATATCAGTATAGCCGTATTTGACTTTGTAATCTCCAATGCGCCGAGTGCTTTCCTGCCCACGAATAGTTCCCACTTGCTTTATTTTCCCTGCATCCAAACCTGCCAGATTGAAAAACAAGTTTAACTGACTTTGAGAAATTTGCAGGACTTCCTCCACTTACACTGTCAGGAATGAGAAAAGAGATATCCACATCTAAACAGAACTGTAAGACAAAACGAGATGCCAAAGAATCATCAGGACCCCAACAAGAAGGAAAGGAAGAACAATTTGCTCTGTTCCAAGGGACACCTTCCCATTAATCGTAATCCAGGATGGCGAGAGATGCTCACAGCCTGACATTCGCACTCTGAATGCAACGGTTGGCCCTAAGACAAAGCCCACGTCCTGGTCCAAAGCCACCAGTGGCAGCTGGCCTGAATGCACAGGCATTTGCTGAAAAGACAGGGGAACATCTGCGCCTGTCAGCTCTGGACTGCGTGATGGGAGGAGGAAGGCAGGAAGGGGGAAAACATATGTGAAGGATTCTGCTTTTTCTTCTGCCTATTATTGATCCCTGTTCCTGAAATCTACACGATGATTTCACTACTGTGCTTGTTTGCAGAGGGTGAAAAGGAGAACTACCTACAAGAGGCATGGAATTTGCTCAACTGCTCAAATTGGTGTTGGCTACTTCTAAAAGAAGGACAATGATGAAACAACCATTTAAATAAATGTAAGGTGATACACCTCTGTTTCAGTGTACAATTCAAATCTGGCAGGGGCTAGGAAAGAATCCCATCCTGAAGAACGTCCTAACAGGGACTGGTTGCCGCTACTATTTGAGGCAGGACTGGGACCAGAACAGACCAGGTAAGGGGCTCGTCTGTTCTGGCCATTCCCCCTTCCTGGTTATACCTCGAGCTAACAGGCAGAAAATGTTATTTTGAGCTTTTTATCTAGGGATGACTGTCCTCAGTACAAGGTGAAGGCAGGGGTCCAACTGAAACTCTCCCTCTGAGTCAAACTGAGCCTCGCTGTGCAGATGGCTCCACACCTACCCCAGCAGTAAGACACAACTCTGCCATCTGCTGCAGACCAAAGCTGACTCATCAACATGGCCTGGCTCATCTGCCAGCTCCTGGCAGGGGGATACATGCCATCGACAGACACAAACACAGGGAGGCTCGCAGCACACCAGGGAGGTTGGTGTCTAAATCACAGCGACTCTCCTGGAGCACTGAAAAAGCCACAATGTTCTGGGTGAAGAGCCACAAAGGCCTAAGACTTCTCCCTCCCTTCTCCCAGAGAGGTGCGACACAGGCACCATCACGACAAACACTATCTTCGCTACCTCTTTTCACTATGCTTCAACCTAGCCCAACAACCACCTCCTTTAGGCCCCAAAAACAGCCTGTGCACACCAGCTCTTTTGCTGGGACAGCCATCGAGAGGGCCACTGCTGCACCAGGTTATGGTCAGTGTATCCAGCACATCCCTGTTCTGCTACAGACTGCAGCTAAATTTTGCCTTTTTTTTCAGCAGAAAGGCAGCCAAAGGGTCTCTTTCCCTGGATACGTGTATTCAGTCTTCTGGTTCACACCACATACCACTATTGCAGGACTATAAGTAAAAGCAGAAATGCAAGAGAAATGGAATGAAACAAGACCTAGCAGCAAAAAATTGCCACATCAACAGCCTCACCAGATAATAATATATCTACCAGGTGATTCTAATGAAGAATGCCAAGCTAGATCTACCTAAACAAAGGTACAGAACGTAAGTATCTCAATAAGAATAATTCAGCACTAGCAATCACACAAGTGGTCTGGGCTAGTTCTGGACAAAGAAAGAGAACATGTCAAACAGTGCAAAGGAAAAGGGAAATTGCCTAAAGCAAAATGTCAGCATTAAGTGTTCAATAGTTACTGATGTGAGAGCAGTAAATGCCAGTGCTTGGCCTGGCTCCATCTGAAACGTAGCTGCTTTTTTTTTTGCAGCAGCAGCTTGTACAAAGGCATATTGAAATGCACCATCCTGAGGGTGCGGCATCACACAAAACTTAACCCAGCATAACCATGGTTTGCCTCTAAAGGAGCAGTCATACACTGTCCATCCCACTTCTGCCCTCTGGCTGTGTGCTTCCACTCCTGCCTGCCTATGGACTCCAGCAATCACACAGCTGGAGGGCAAATCCATGTCAGTTTGGCAGCTGGACACAAAACTAACTCTAAAAACTTTGAGGGGGGAAAAAAAAAAAAAGGATGTTTTTCTGCTGGTTCACTGAGCTGAACTTACTCACTCTGTAACCTCACAATGGCGAGAAAGAAGGCACCGAACTCGTCATTTGAAACCACAGTGAGCTTCTTTTTGTGGTCATTTATTGTTTCCAGCAGCTTGAGTCACTCCTGGTGCCCCAGATAAATGGAGGAATATGATGTTCTCAGATAAGAAAGTGAAACCCAACACTCACCCAGCTGGGAGAAGCGAAAAAGTTCATCCTCATTCTCCGTAGTGTGGTCCACATTAAGCTGAGTCACCTGCAGCCCATCCACCGTGGACTTGCACAACAGTGCCCGATTGGTACCTGCAGTGGGAGCAGCGAGATGAGGCACCAGATAGCTCTGCCATTAGGAGGCAGAACATATCCAAGTGGAAAAAGGAACAGGAGCAGGGAATAAAGACAGAGAAGAAGAGAAAGATTCATGTACTGTCTCATCATGATCTCCAAAAAAGTAGCCTTGCCAGCAGCATAGCAGACCTACTAGGCAGCTCTTCATCCAGGCCTGAGCTGATACCTGCCAAGAAAGCTCTCCGTTTCTCAGTGAACTTGCACTACTGACTCTCAACCCATTTTCCCTTCTTTTCTTTGGTCATACACATCGCATCAGCCAACATCTGCAGAGATAAAGAGCCACCAGCCTGATTTCAAGTGCTCCTGTAAGGAACAAGCATATCACTCCTTGGCCACAGACCAAAGAAACCATCCCCTGCATTCAAATTTCTTTCACTTCCTAGAGCTGCAGCCATCCTCAGGAACACCTACACTGAGCTGCTGACCAAAAACAACTCACCCACATTGGCGATATAGAGCTTGTTGTTGAGAACAACAGCCACAATAGCCATGGCTCCTCCAGAGATCTCCTGCTCTACAGCCTTCAATCTCTCCACAATCTTCTGGTACTGAGGTGGCAGCTGGTGGTGAGGGACACCCTGGAACCCCAAATGAGAGGGAAGATAAAATACATAGCCCAACAACACAGAAACCACAGCTGGAGTAAAAATTCTGTAGGGATAGGACTCGTCTTGGCATGTCTTGGCCTCACGTCAAGACTGTGCAAGATGCACAATTATTTGTTCAATCATATCAAATGACATGGCTCCAAAAAGGTTCTGGAGATGACAGTCCAGTTCACCTGAAGAACAGAATCCACATCTGCCCAGATACCATGCAAATTTGAGGCCTTTGCTCTCCTTTGCATCATATGGCTTTGTCCTGGAAGAGGTACATGTACGGGTTGCACTCCTCTTTGTGATGCGTTCAGTTCTTTACCAAGATAACCAATGATGAGTCTCATGGTACCAGTATGAATAGTGGAAACTCTGGGAAATGCACCAAAATGCTTGCTTCACTTCACAGAAGCTCCCAGAAGAGAACCACAGAGAAAGAATTTTCAGTTACAGCCTCCCTTGTACCAGGCTGACTAATATGCCCAAACCTCATTGAGCAATCTAGAAGGTGCGACCTCCAGCAATCTCTGTTCTTAAGGGTACCTTACCTCTGGTAGCTGGGACTGCAGGCTGGCCTTCTCTGCCAAGGCATCATCAATGGACTCCAGGAAACTTCTTTCTACCACATCAAAAGCCTAAAAAAAAAGGCCATAAAGAGAAACTAAGTTCTTATCCAATACCTTCAGGCCTTTGAGGTTACCCATCCGTGCCTCCCTAAAACAAATAGTGGTTGATCACTGTACATACATACAGTCAAGGACCACTCCATCACATTGAAACACAATTATTTTAGCACAACTACTTAACAGCTTGTAAAAACAATCTGCAACTACTCAGAACAGGAGACAAAAACATAAAAGTTACATTCGAAGCAATGTCAGAGACCTATCTGATTTTGTGTGTTGATTGTAAGAACTTGTCTATCACTCAAGAAAGCGCACTCACAAATCCATCTCCCCACACGTTAACTTCTCTCATTCACCCATTGTCATCTCCTTCACAAGCTGACTTGTTCCTGCATGTCCAGTGAAGACCAGCTGCAGCTTCCTGGAGAGCTCTCAGCACTGCGCTGACAGAGCCAGGGGTACAGATGGGTATGAGGCGGGACTGAAACAAAGCACTACAGCTGCTCAGGATGAGTGCGATCGCAGCCATTGGCAGATGTTTCCAAGCCTCACAGAAACCAGATGCTGCTCCTCTGGTGACAAAAAGAGGAGGTGGGTAGCATGAGAAGCAGGAGCCGTTCCCGGCCAAAGCTTCTTTACCTGCAGCAGAACTCGACGCACATCAGCATCGCTGTGATCTGCGTGTAGCTGGCCCAGCAGCAGTTCTGCAGAAAGCCTCTGACCCACAAAGTTGGTGACTCGGTTGCCATCATAGCCATTGAAGACACCATAGAGGTAGCAGTTGTTCTCACTCCTGTCAGAGGACAGAAGTAAAGAGGTCACAGATGTCTGCAAGACACAGACATACGTAACAAGTTCCTCCAGCACCTCCTGCATGCCCGTGCCCCACCCTCTTCTTCCACGTCCTGTGTGACAAACTAAATGCCACCTTTATCTGCCCTTATGTCTGAAGGAGTCTGTGTCCCAGGTGCAACCCACCTACCTGAATTTTAACCAGTTATCTTCCAAGGGGTGACCCTCTGTCCCCTTGCCATCTGCACTGTAGGAACGGTTTGGAGCTGAGCCCACCCCAGAGAGGTGGCAGGATGGCAAGTCATCTGTCCAACTGGGCTGCTGTTCCTGGGAGGCAGAAAGAGGAAATAGATCATGCAAACCCCAAGGAGCCTGAAGTGAGGATCCTTGTCCAGTGCTGGTTACAAGTCTGTCTCTACCCCCTTCTCAGTCCTTCTCCCGTTGCTAACACAGTAGCATACCACCCCAGCAAATAACTTTGTATTCCCTGCTGCACAACTGGATGGCTTACCATTTCCTTTCCCTCTGAAGCTGAACTCTGGCTGCATCTCTGGCTCTTGCTAACAAGAGACCAGAAGGGAAATTTACACACGAGTTCTACAGCGAATACAGCACAGCACAGTGCTAGCTATTCATTTAATGAATCAGACCCTCATGCACCCCTGGAAGAGGAGCACAGGGCAGGCTCTGGTTCATGGCTGGAAAACACTCATCCAGGAGAAGGGGACTGGGGCCCTGTCGCTGCCAGCAACGACAGAGGGGGCCCTGGGGCCCCCACCTCACTGGCACTTACTCCCTGCACACACACACGCACACACAGAGCCTGCACACCCCTGCTGCCCCCTCACACAGCAGGGCACCCTGAAGCCCACAGCACAGGCAAGGCCCCCCCAGCCACCTGCCGCCCTTCCCCTGTCCCACAGCGCTGCAGAACGACAAGCCAGACCCGGGTGGGGACCGATAACCACGCAGGGCTAACCCCCTACCCAAGCTGGGCCCCCTTGCCCTCAGGGGGCACAGGGGGCGGGGAGCGTCCCTCCTCAATCAGGAGGTCGGTGGCTGCTCCCGCCCTCGCCGGGCCTCCCCCTTCCCACACGGCACTGCGGGGGGGCGGCCGAGGAGAGGAGTCGGCCCAGGTCCCCCCCTCGCACCCACCTGGCGGGGGGGTGCCTGTGCACGGAGGGGGGGAAGGTGCCACTCACACTCTGCAGCAGACTCCTCCTCTGCGCCGCCATCTTGGAGCAGGAGCGACCTCCTCCCCGTTCCCCCCGCCCCGCCCTATTCCGCCAGAGCAGTCGAGGCCGAAGGATAGAGCGGCCACTTCCCTTCCCCTCCCCTCCCCGCCTCCACGGCGGCTCCGTCCACCTGCGCGTCGATGGCCACGCCCCTCCCGCCCAATGGGCGAGGGCGGCGGGGTGCGCTCAAGCGCAGGCGCGTGCGTGCACACACACATCCCCTCCTCAGGCTCCGCCCCGGGTTCTGTGAAGGCCTGAAGTGGTAGCGGCGCCTTGGTTTTCAGGGTACCTGAAAATGTGGCCCTCTGGGGCTCCCGAGGTGATCACCCGGAGAGACGTGCACCCCCCCCTGCAGGCCCTGTGGTACAGGGGAGCCCAGCGTGGCGCCCCGGCGTGATGCCTGCTTGTGTGTGACCAGAGGAGAGGCCGTGGTCAGCTCACCTCCGCCGAAGCGAAATATTTTAAAATTTCCCTGTCATTACCCCTCCCTCTTGTCTAGGAGGAAATGGAGGCCTCTTAGTTTCTTACCTTGAGGCCTTCAGTCGTGAGAGAAAGCAGCACGTTTTGGTCACCGCTGCAAGCACGGGGAGGGAGGAGGTGCAGGGTTGTGAGGATCCTGTGAAATGGTGTCACCTTGGGTGCCAAAGAGCCCTGAAGGAGTCTGGTGTTGAAAGGTCTTTCTTAGCACCACATCATGTTCTCTGCAACCTCTAGGGAAGACCAAGATCAGGAAAGCTCAAGGTATCAGCTCTCAGCTGTGCTGCTGCTCCATAGACACCACAAGAGGCATTTCTTTGTCTCAGTTTGGGGTCTCCTGCCAAGGCAATCCACAGCCCTTTCCCACCTTCTTTTGCAGGCCATCATGAGGATATAGTGGGGCCATGCCCTCAGGCCAGCAATGGGAAGGTCTATAGAACAGCTGACAGGTGGATCTCAATACCCACCACAGTTTGGAGCAATCCTTGCTAGTCTCAAGTCAGGTACAACAGTAAAATTGCTTGTGTGCCTGCCTGAATGATACAGGCAAACCCAGAGATTGCTGATTTTGCTCCTTACGAACCTTTCTAGGGTGAGGAAGGCTGTTTCAAAAGGCACAGTCTCCATTGAACCAACACAGCTGGAGTAGGAGGGAAGACACAAGAATCATTCCCACCGCTTTCTTAATATTATAAGTCAGCAGAAGAGCCCTACAGGTATGTGAGTGGCATATCTTGAAGTGAGTGATGGCTGGCAGGCTGTGGCAGCGTGGGGCTTGGGGAAGAGCACACTTCCCTGTGTGAATCGAGGCTGAAAGGGCTCCAACATGAGAGACATGCAGCTTCAGTCATGTGTAGCAGTGTAACTGTGGTGAGGGTGGGAGTATTAAGTAGTCTTGACTTCCAGCAGTGGCTTGATACTCTTTTAATGACATCTTCATGGAAAATATATTAGATTCAGATGCACTTCAGAAATAATTGCCAGTTAATTAACCTCATTCTATGGAATGATGCTTTTTTTGCTGCAGGGGAGCCTGCCAGAGGATTCCAGCTCTCTTTCCTGTAAATCCTTAGTCTATTGTTTTGTTACATCTCTTACTTCCAGATATACAAAGATTATAGACCCTTCCCATTCATGCAAGGCTCACAAATATTCAGCCACACAAGCAGACTTAGCTACACATGCAGAATTAGTTTTAAAAATGTTATATTGGCCAAAGGTAGGAGGAAATGCTAAATCTCAGTCTACAAACAAGTTTCCACATGTTTAGCTTTATGTATAAGCTTGGTCCCACCGATGTCGTTTGGAGTGTTCCTGTGAGTAAAGCTGTGGGTGGATACAAATAATTACAGGAATGGGGCTTCAGTCTGCATTAAAATTAAAGTAGGATGGACAGATTTAGTACTGATAATGATTTGTTGACGATACTGGTTTGTACAGTATGATACATAAAGATCAGTTGATGATACTGATTTGTTTTCTGACCAGTATCAAGAATTTCTGGTGCTGCAGAAATCTGCATAGAACAGCATTGTCCGTGTCATTAAAAAGCAACAGGCGGGTTTCTCTGCTTTGAAACACGATGTCACTTTTTCAGCATTGCAGCAGAAGCTTATGCTTATTTAATGACATTCAAGGTTGCAGTCGTGCACCTTGATGAGCGCAGGTAGACCCTGTCCTTGCTCAGAGCGCCACTGAAATCAGCAAGGCTTTGGGTGTGCTCAGGGACTCCCAGCCTGTATCGCATTGCAGGACTGGGAATTTAGGGGTCATTTCTGTCTTCTTCTATCCCTAATTGAGTCCTTTGGAGACTAACAAGAGCGGAGTCTGCGCGTGGGTGCGACAGGGCAGAATGTGATCTCAGTGAGAAAGCAAAACAACTTTCCTAAAGATAGAAGGTAGAAAAGCTGCCACTTGCCTTGTTTGTACAATGACTAGTCACCTCTTGCAGTTAAAAATGTTCTCTGCTCCTAATTAAAATGTCTGGCTTCAGCTTATAGTCACCAATCATTGTCCTTCTGGTTAATTTTTTTCCTGCCTGTTTGGGCTGGAACACAGACCTGGTGCAAAATGTTTTTTTTCTTGGTGAAAATACTTGTGCCAGATTGTGTCTGGATATTCTTCTAGTTCTGTCACTGAACCTCTGCCCTAACCTTGAGCGAGGCAATTAACTACTTGGTCTGCAAAAAAGTGAAGTTGCTTGCAGTCCTAAATGAATATTTATCCAGCATTTTGCAGCCCTCCAAAGGAAAGTGCTACCGAAGCTTGTGTGCTGCTTCATGAATATCTGCTCACGGAGACCAACAGCTTTATGCAGCACTTGCAAGATGAAATACTGCACCAACAGAGTTTTTGTTGGCTGTATTGATCAAGCTTATTTTTTTCCTTTGTTTTATTTATGCTTCTTACCTTCAGCAAATCCTCCCAGAAATTACCATGCTGTGTTCTCATGCAGCCAAAATCTCCACGAGAACGCAGGATATCAGTCTCTGAACCTCATCATCCGTGCACCAATAAATGAATTATATGATTCAGTGAATACCAGATCCACAGCTCCCTCTCTCATGTTGAACTCCCGTATTTCTCATTTCTCTCTCCCTCCCTCCCTCTCTCTTTGTATATTTATTTTTTCTTATTACTTCTGTGTCCCCAATGCTAGGGGTTATACAGACAGTATTTCTCGTGACAATCTGTACTGCTGCCTTCTTGTTTTTACTAATTTTATCTTTTTTTTTTCCTTTAGAAAAAGAAGCAGCATGGTGACTCTGCTGGGCCGCTGGATAAAAGATGAACAGCATGATTGCACACCATGCTGGGGGGAGCAGGGAACACAGGGCTGTAGTAGGCACTCGGAAACCATACACAATGGGAAGCAATGATGGGATCGCCGGCAGATGCCATCACATCATTTAGTTTACTGATCACATCTGAGGTATGTTTGGGGAGATTTTTTTTCTCTGCCTTGTTTTGCTAAAGATGAGGGCTGGGGCTGGAAAGGAAAGTCAGGATTTTTGGCAAGGCTTGCAGGAGGTGATAGGAGGGGGAAAAAAGAAGGGTCTCTGACAGAGCCAGCTTTGCTGCGCTTGCTCTGTTCCACAGATCATAACAGAAAGGGATGTTGGAGGGGGTGGCATTGAAAGCCCTCACTCAGCTCCAACCCTCCCTGAGGTCTCCTCAGCTGCCTCTACCAACTTCAGCCAGATTCTCTGTTCCCACAGGCGCAGATGCCCTAATGCTCCTCGCTCCCCTGCAGGCCACTATTTCCAAGCAGGCTGGAACAGCAAAGAAATAGAGAGGGAGCAGTAGAAAGAACAAGCATTAAGGAAGAAGAGCTGGAAATAGCACCTTCCTCCCCCCAGCACCCTCTGGAGAGTTGGAGAACCAACACGGAGAGCTACTGCCACGGGAGGAGGGAATGGTGAGAGAGTGCTGATCCCCCCAGGAGAGAGCCAAATCACACTGCAAAAGAGAGTTTGTACAGAGCTTTAGGCCAGCTGGGCTTTGGGGGGAGGGAAATGGGCTTGTTTCAGTTGTGCCAAAGCATCTGATTTTGTTGAATTCTGGGATATGTTAAACAAAGTCTCATCTCCTCGAGTCCTGGGATTATGTGAACTTTTTTTACAAAAACAACTTTACAATAGAATTATGTTTCTAGATGTCAGGGCTGCAGGGAGCAGCTTCAAAACATGACTCATAAGAGCTTAAAATACCAGAAAGCAAAATTAAAGAGATTTGAAATGATTAGAAGAAACAAACAAACTGGTGATGTTGGAGTATTATTCATCTTAAATGCTTGCTTTTGGCAACATTTTGTCTCACCAGTTTTCAACTCCACCTGTCACCCACACAGACATCTGCCTTTCTGTGGGCATATTTCCACACCCCTTCCACCCAAAAAGCTGGGCCTGTAGGAAGGGTCTTTGTCCCAAACAAGGCCTAATCAAGAAACAGATGGGTCTTTCAACACTTTTGTACATAACCTGAGGTAAAGCTGCAGCGCGAGTGTGCTCAGTTGTGTCCCCAAGAGGGAAGATGGTTTGGAGGATGGTACAGAGCCTGGTCACCATCATGTGCCTCTGCTCACCCTCCTCAGGCTGCAGAGGGGTTGGGAAATGCGATACTTGTGTGCTCGGGTGACAGGCTCATTAAAAGGAGATGAGAAGCAAGTTTTACCTAAGCATTGGCAACCAATGGGGGATTTTGAATTTTCTGTTTATTGCAGAGCCCATTGAAATGAGATCCTTTTTAATGGTGGGCACTCAATTACTGACACCCACTGTTGGCAGTGCCCTCACAGCTCTTGTTTACCTGTATATCATTATGTTTTGAAAATGAGTACTGTGACAAACACCTGAGCAACGGTCACACGTAGATGAGGAGAGGTACAGGCACATCAAAGTAATAAACAGATTTGCTTCCCCAGGTGTGGAAATACTGTTTATTTTCATATAGATTTGTACCCTCTGTGATGTCCCCCATCCACATCTTCTATGTCCCTTTCACAGTGAGAGTCCACTTCTAATATGGCACGTCCAGCTCCTCTTCATTTTCCTACTGATTGGGCGAGAGACATTTGATGGTGTGTGTGATTTCAAACTTAGGCCCAGCAAAACAGGCAACCACTAGTGCCCCCTGAAATATTTATCTCAATAAGGGCAGTTCTTATAGGTCTCTTTCCTCCCTTCAAACCACCGTCACCAAACTTGGCCAGCCGGCCATGCAGGAGCACAGGAGCCAAGCTCTCATAGCAAACCCCACTAAAAAAAAAAGCCATCCCTCCCCAAAGAAGAAAATCCAGACCATTTTTTTTTTTTCCATATAGTTTGGTTATTTTGAACGTCATAACTTTATTGAGACACCAGTAGTTACCACCTTCACTTTGTTAACCACAAATATATAGGACATTGTAAACACAGGTGCCGAGGTGGCGGGGTTCGCTGTAGTTGGATTTCGGAAGGGAGAGGGGGGGCGAGGGGCGGAGGGGGAGGAGGGGCGAAGGGGCACTCGGGCTTAGACGAGACCACTCAGGGGATCCTGTATGCGGCAGGCCATCCGTGAGTCATCGTATATACGTATATATGTATAGCTTTATATTATACATCTTTTTTTAAATATATATATATAATATATATACTATACACAGGCAGTAATGCGGCAGGGGAAGGGGCAGGGCAGCCCAGGTGGTGGTACGGATGCCACGCAGGCAGTTGTCTGGATGGATGGTTTGGACTCGCTGCACGAGGTGGCCTCACTGGGCTCCTTGCCTTGTACCTGCTCTGGGGACCGGAGTCGAAGCTCCTGTGGGAACCACCCTGCCACCCTGCCTTCCCGGGTCCTCCCAAGTGCTCACCAGGGTGCAGGGACAAAGACGCCTCCTCCCCTGAGGGAACTGCCAGGAATAACTGCGGAGGGGAAGGGTGTGTGTGATGGGGTGATGAACAGCGTGGTGGGGACGTGGGTGAGCTGGGGATGGGGAGACATCAGGAGGCTGAAGCCACAGGTAGAACTGGGGCAAAGTTTTCATCATCCTTTTGCCCTTCACAGCCCCTGCTTGCACAAAACAGTCCCTTACTTGGGGGCTTCATGAGATAAGAAGACATCAAGGGGCCATTGCTCTCAACAGGGGATACGTAATCCTCTGTAATCCGGACAAATGGCAGAGGGGGAAGAAAGCCGCCTTATCGTTTCCCTTACACAGCCTTCCCTCTGATCTCCTAATCCCTGGAGTGGGGCTGATCTCACCCACGTTTAGGATCTAAAAGGGACATGTTCCAGCCAGCTGCTCAGGTCTTGCCTGATGATCACCAGAAATAGGCAGCACCTTATCAGAAGTGCCTGAGATAAGATAACCAACCCTGTGGGTAGGTCCCTATCTCTCATCAGCTGCAGAACCAGCCAAATGCCACAGGAAATTGCATTTGAAAGAGCTACGGGCAAACAAGGACAGTCCCACCCCTAGGCCTGACACCACCAACCCTCCACTGCAAAGGCTGAAAGCATGTCAACCCAAGGAGAGCGTGTCTCCTTCCCAGGATCAAAAGCAAGAAGTTGCCCAAATATCTTCTGTTGTAGTCCCCCTGCCCCACCAATGGCTTTCCTACAACACAAAGCAAGGAGGTAAAGGACGGGGATGGACAGTAACCCAGGATGAAGCCACCTGGCTCAGGTCTCACTGAGAAGGGGCATGTAAGATGCTCCTGTGCCACACCCCGAAACAGAACCCCAGGTAGACCCCCCCCAAGTATGGTCCGTACCTCTCCTCACACGCCTGGTCCCTCACCCCCTCACCCAGGAGATGGGACAAGTGATGGGCAGTTCCTCCCCAAAAGTACAACATATTTTTGTGCTGAGGGCTGGTTATTTATAGCCGCCTCCTCCTCTTGGTTCTCCCCAACCCCCCCCACCCAAAACAAAAGCACGAAGGATGACACAGATGGGTCTGGGTGAGTACAACTAGTTTTTCTCCTCCTCCACCTCATCACTCGTTCTTTCCTCTCCCCCAGTGGCAGAGACAGACTGGAGGGAGCTCCCCCCACAGCTACAGACATAATGAACCCCCCTCAATAAAGTAACCCCCTCCCAAGCCTAAATATTAGGCCGAGCCCACAGAAGAAGAAGCTTGAAGGGCTTCCCTCCAAAAAATACCCCTCCTATTTACAGTATTGCTTTCGCTCGCAGCCACAGAACAAGGGACGTGTGCCCAGTCCCTCCTCATGCGCCCATGGGGCTACCCGGTCCCCCTCTCCTGTCCTCACCAGTGGTTAATCACTAGCAAGGCAGGGCAAACCATGGGGAGAATACGCCATGGGGACAGCCACCGGCAGCACAAGGCTGCTGGTAGGAGCAGGTAGAAACGGTGCCTACATACAGTGGAGAACAACAGCCCCCCTTTGCATCTTGGGGCCTGCAGCTCTACGGTCTCCATCCCTTCCCTATCGTTGTGGGGCACCTAGAGAGGAGTCACACTGGAAGGAGGGGAAGGACTGGCAACCTCAGTGTCCTCCAGATGTGATGGTCACACAACCACAGGTCAGACCTGTGTCCCATGCTTCCGACTCCTAAGGGTGCTACAGGGAACAGGCTGGACTCTCAGGGGGAGCACCTAGGGATTTTGGATCTGCTCCTGATTTCTGCTACTGGGGCCAGTGTTGTGTGGAGCAGGGTGGCTACCTGAGGAATGAAGGTCCTCACTGCTGCAAGGCATACCCTGCTTCATGTGCTCTGAGAGATGTCTGTACTGGGGAGAATTGTCCAGGTGGCTATTGCTGAGTTATTTCCCTTTAGGGACAGTCTTCACACATAGACCTTACTTCTGTCCTGGAATAAAGAGTGTGCTTCCACAGCTGTGTCTTTACTCGAAGCAAAGTCATGAGGAGCATGGAATGATGTCCACACGAGCTCTATCTGAGAGTCACTACTGCCACCTAGGTGAGGCTTTAAAGACAGCCAAGATTTGAGATGCTGCAGAAGATGCACTATGGTATACCCTATGCAAAGTACAGTAAGACCAGTTTTCAGAGAGCTCAGTCTGGCCCAAACCAATTCTCTGCCCACCAAGACCTCTTCCCCACCTGAGTGGGAGGCCAAACGCAGCTGCACAGGGAAGGTCCCTTCCCCACTTGGTTGCACCAAGAGCCAGATGCACGCTGGCCATTCCAGCAGCAGTATTTCTTTCCACGGGGAGTCCTGCTCTGTTCCTGTGTGCCACAATGATGGTGTCAGCCAAGAGGCTTTGCAGTGTGGTAGCAGAGGAACAGAGGAGGGTTCAGCAGGACCTGAGGAATGAAACCCTTTCTTCTCCTCTTCCTGCCCAGGGTGAAATGGCAAAGCTCTCCTCTCCCCCTTGAACCAACCCAGCTGGGGATGAGGACTCTCAAGGCCCACTAGAAGCCCATCTTCTCCATCCTTCCTCTCAGGGACTGTGCCTGGGGGCCAGAAACTGAGCATGGCACCCTCCTGCCTCACCAAAACACTGGTCTGAGAAGAGTGGTGAGCAGGACATACAGGCGAGGGGAACCACCTCCACCTCAATCCAAGGGGGCTGGGGAAGGAGAGAAGACTCTTATGGCACTGCCCCTCTGCTCTGCCAAGTCTCTCGCTGTAACCAACAGTCGTGCCTGTGGTTTACTGATTGTACCTGCAAATCTTCCTCCCTCCCACCCTTCCCATTTTATCTCTTTGTGCCCCCCCACCCCAGTATCACTTCTTCCCAAACCCTCTAAAAATAAAGCACTAGCATGTGGCAGAGAACAGCCTCCCTGTCTTTGCACGGGGAACGCCATTCCCACTCCCGTCCATCCCCCTGCAGCCTCGCACGCCTGCATGCTGGCTCCAACACCGTCCCCCTCCCTGAGCCACCGGGCTCTCCAGCCCAATTCGGATGCTACCACGTCTACTCCAGCCTTTAGCAACACCATCTTTTCTAGGAAGGTCCCTGATCCCTCTCACTCCTTCCTTTCTACCTCCAATACCCTCTCCCCTGCCCTGCTGGTGCCATCGCCCCTCTCCTGCCCACCGGCCAGACTCTGCCCTCTGCAGCAAGGCAGGAGGGAGAAGAGGGAAGGGAGGACCTTCCTGTCACAACGTGGTGACAGATTTGGAAATAATTTGGTTCTGGCAGGTAGTTTTGGGAAGGAGGAAAAGGAAGAGGTGATGGGGAAACCTTTTTTTATCTTTTTTTTTTTTTCCTTTTTTAAAAACAATAAATAAAAACAGATGACCCAGAAGGCTGGAGCATAGCTGAGAGCCACCTCTTGTGCCACTACGCACATGTCTGGTTTGTGCCTCGGCTTTCTGCCGGCAGTGGGAAAGGGGGCAAAAGGGAACGGGGAAGGGAAAGGGGCATCGGTGGCTCAGTAGTTCTGCGTTTGGTACCCCTGTGTCTCGGTGTCGAAAGCATCTGCCGGAGGGGGCTGCTGGTAGGTCCCCACCGCGTCTGTAGCATCCTCCTCGTTCGTGTAGGGAGCATAAGGCATGCCGGAGTCCTGGCTTGGGTCCATGTAGTCCTGGGAGAAGAGGGCCGAATCGGCACCCAGCCGGAAACGCTGATACGCCAGGAATGCCTGGCCCACCTTTAAGGGAGGAGGTGGAGGGAAGAGAAGCAGAGAGGGGAGGGGAGAAAGAGAGCAAGGGCAGGGGGGGAACATACCGAGGAAGAGAAACAAACAAAAGTGGGGTTAGTAGTGGTTACGGATTAGTGTGCGAGGCCCGCCTGGCAAACCGCTGGTGAGACACCCCCGAGAGCATGGAGGTTCAGGCCACCCCATGGAAAGCATGAGCCCACCAGGAGAGAGGAGGGCTGGGTAGGGATGGCTGCCAGCCCAGCTGGCTGCATGGCAGCTCCCCGGGGCTCCCCGCTGTCTCTGGGGTGCACTGGGCACCTCCTGCCCACTGGTGGGGTTTCACCAAAGTGGCACAGGTCGCAGAGGCTCAGCTGGCATGTGGTTATCCCATTCAGCCCCTCCTGCCCCCGGGAAAGGCAATCTGCCTCAGCATCACCACAGAAGGTTCATCTGCTGGGCTGGAGGGCAGGACTTGACCCGGCGTAGCGAGGTAGTGGTCACCTCCCGTAACCCCTTCACCAGCCAACATCCACACGGTACAGTAGAAGACCTTGGGAAGGAGCAGCAGGAGGCAAAGTGGCTGCTTCCCAGACCAGGGGTTGGTTAGCAAGCGTACTGCTGCCTCCTGCCCCAGGAGCTGCAGGCAGGACACCCTTCGGTGGACTGAGGGAGCCTGGGCACAGGGTTCAGAATCGCGGACCCCAGCAGGCACGGCTCATTGTCCCAGAGCACCCCTGATAGAGGTGAGCAGTCTAGCAGATAAAGGGGGGAGAGGTTTGGGCAGAACGAGGGCTGGGAGGAAAGGGAGGAGGTAAAGTGGTGGGGGCAGAGGACATCTCCTGGCTGAAGAATTAGGTCTGAGCAGTCACCAAAAGAAAGGCACAGTGGTGTTACGCAGCATTAGTTAGTGTATGGGTGAGGGAGAGAAGGGAGCAGAGGAGGAGGAGAAAAAATTGCCAATTCCAGCTCCCCAAAGGGAGTTCAGTGGACAACCCCACTCCAGTTCAATAGCCCATGTCTCCCCACCCCCTGCCCTGCAGTGAACACACACCCATGGTCGGGGAATTGGAACCATCTCTGCTCAGTAACCTCCTCCAGCTGCGTCCTTCTGCCCCTTCCCCCAAAGTCCCCCATCAGCAAGGGGCACTAAGGCAGCAAGGATGGGGAGTTAGGGAACAGGGTGTTGTATTCTTCCTGAAAAGTAATGTCTCTGAGTCTCCGGAAAGCCAGAAATGTGAGGGAGCCCTGTGAGGAGAGAGAGGGGTGTGGGGAGGAGAATCAGTAAGGAAGAGCAAACTGGAGCATTTGATTGAAATAAAAACCCCAAGGAACATGCAGAAGAGGATGCCTATTTAGCCACTTGCAAGTCCATGCATCAGGGAGGACCACTGCATGTGGTGGTGCCTCAAAAGGGTCCTGAGGGACCTCTTGCTCCTTGTCACACTTTCTGCCGGAGCTTGTAAGGGGCTTGTGGCAGCACTTGAGTGCAGGACACAGCTAGTGGGACACACACACATGCTGCTGTCCTTTGCCCCTGCTTGGTGTCACCTTGGCGGGGGTGCTGATTAGACAACTCTTTCCAGCCCTCCTTCCTCTCTGACAGCTTCATGGCATTCTTCCTACCTGGTCTCCACCCAACATTAAGGCCCACAGGGAGAGAAGAAGATAAAGCCACAAGGACTTACTCATGGAGACTGGCCTAAAATGCTTTCCTGCTTGGCACTATCCTGTCACTTCAGACAAAAATCATTAAATCACTCAGGCTTGGTGCTTTGAGAGACAGGAGGAAATCGTGGGGGATATTTATATTGCACACCACAGTTTTTCCAGGAAACTAGCCATAAAGAACTGCTGGGGAAAGAGTAGTCTTACAAGATAGCACTGTCACCTTCCTAAGAGGCGAGACTCAGTGAGAAAGTGCTGCAGTGGTGGGTGCAGAGGGAGAGCCCAGAGGGACATCCATTGATCACCACCTCTTGTGGCCACTGGTGACATTTCATGTGATAGGAGCAAAGCAGGGAGGGAGATGGATGCAACCCCCGGCCTGGAGCTCCCTTCTCTGCTTGGCGTCTGTGAGGTGAAAATGCTGTTAAAGTCCTCTGACGCACAGGGAAAATGATGGTTGAGGAGCTGGCTTGTCCAAGGTCATATTAGAGGTTCGTCAAGGACACTCCTTACAGGGATATAGAACCATCTTTCCCATTGTGCTTATTAGCTTCCATGTGAGTTTTTGAGTCCTTGTTTCCCAAATTTACTTCCCAACCACGTCCACTCCTGCTTTTCCTTCTCAGAAGCCATGAGAACTGAGATCTGAGAGGGAATCACTCTTAGCCAGTCACCTCCCATTTCCCACACGCTAATACAGTGCAGAGGACACTTGATCCATGTCATGGTTGCTGTACTCACCCAGGTGAAGATGGAGAAGAACGAGAACGTGATGGCTGCTCGGGCTGCATCCCCTCCTTCATTCAATGGGTTGTCCTCTTCTTTTGAAGCTTGCCACTGGTTGGTCAGAAAGCAGAAGCCAACGAACCAGAGGAATGCCCAAAAGGCTGGGATGGACCACCACCAACATGCCAAAGGGGAAGGGGAGAGACATCAAGAAGGTATGTGTGAACTGAACATAAACACATCATGTTTCTCTGGAAATAAACCCTACGAGACCCAGCAGTGTGTTGCAGATGGGGACAAACACTGACTGTGCAGCCTCTCTAAAGCTCAAGCGAGCTGGCAGGCTTGCTGGCAGCTAAATTGTCAAGGTGACAATAGGTGTCTGCAGAAAGTACCTCAGGAGAGTTCATTTGCTCGTGTTTGGATTGATCACAGGACTTGCATTTGGCCTTGGGAGGAAGCCTGAAGGGCTTCCAGTGCTGGAGCAATCACCTGGGCTCTCTGAAACAGCCACTGCTTCGCAACCCTGTCCTGCAAGGACAAGCAAAGAGCAATTCCTTCCAAGGGAGCTGCAGAAGAGTGGGAAGCAGCTGACCTACAGCTTCACGGAGACCAGGTTTTGCTCAGGACAGCGCTGGCTACAGGGACTCACAGACAGGACTCAGGGTCTCACAGACAGGAAAGGTGCTGAAGGATCATTAACATGCTGCACCCCCAGGAAAGGGGTGAAGGTAGGGGAGAGCCCCAAGTCCAGACTGACAGCTGGTGGGGAGGAGTGGGGCTCACCCTCTCTGCCAGGCGCAGCCAGATACCCAGCAGTGAGGGAAACGGGCATTCCTACGCGGCAGAAAAACAGGGCTCAGCCCTGCCCCTTATCTTCTTAGCTCTAGGCAGGGCTGCTAGGCAAGAGGCCAACCGTGAACAAACTTGCGAGCCAGAAGTCCTAAACAAGTTCAGATGCGGCACCTGATCCTGCCCTCACTCCATTCATGGCCCCTCTGACAAACCGTGGGGGGAACCCTGATGTGGAGAAGTTTGCCTGGATGGCTGGAGTAAGCCAGGAGAGCAACTCGGGGTCACAGCACGAGAGCAAAGCGCCTCCTCATGATACTGCTGCCTGGTGTTACTCATCCATGTCCATGCACACCATCACGCTGTCTGTCACTGCAACACACTACTGGGGATGGAGAGATCTGACTATAAGTTAGAATAAGCCTCAGGGCTGGATAGGGTCCTGCACAGCTATTCTCACGGGGAGTGCCAGGTAACTTAGGAGGACTGGTTTAGTCAGCCTGCATGAAACCCTTAACCCTTTTTTATGTTAAAATATACAGGGTTCGATCACCTGGAGCTGGAAAAGAAGGAAGCACCATCTCCAGCGGCATCAACACTTGGCCTTAGCAAGCACAAGCATGCAGGGAGGCAAAACCTGCTGATCCTAAAGGGCTCCCTGAGCTACACCTATGGAGAACATAGAGGCATCAGCCAGATTGAATGAAGAGAAAGGGACAGAAAAAGAGAGAGAGAGGAGACCTGAGAGAGTAAGGAACCCAAAGATCTCCCTGATAGCAGGGACCTGGCCTGAGAAGCTCCCTCCCTGTCCCTTTCCAGTGGAGGAGAGGGGCACTACGGCCAACTGGCCAGGAAGCTCACCCGAGACTCCGATGTCCGAGAGCACTGCCTTCTTGCGGTCCTTGACGCTGCTGATCTGCGGGAAGTAGGCATCCAGAGCCAGGTAAAGAAGGCAGCTGAGGAAGGCGAGGACACCCACGGTAATGCCATAGTTGCAGGCATTGTGATTGCGGTTGAAAATGCAGTGCTCTTCTGTCTCTTCCAGGCGGTTCACGTACCCTTCATTGACAATGGAGCCGAACACCACGATGGAGAAGATCTGGTGGGGATGGAGGCAGGAGACACGTCAGGGCAAGCCCCATCTCTCTGGACCAGCAGAAAGGAGCAGAGCTCTGCAGGGGACAGCCACCCTTCACAGGCACCTCTCTGCTCTGCAGAGCTCCTGTCCTGCTGCCTTGCGTGGGCTGTAGCCACAGGGAATTTACTGGGGAGATGGTCTCATTTTATTTCTGAGGATTAACTTAAAATAGAACACTTTTAGATTGAGCCTTTTTATCCATCTGATCTAAAGCAATGTAAAGCAGGAGTAAGGGTGGATTCCCACAGACACTCGGGGAGGCAACATGGAGTGTAAACCAGGGTATGGTTTTGGTGCGGGTGCCTGTGTACAAGGGCTCCAAGTAGTGGAAATCCCCTTAGTCTACACTTATTTTCCCACCCACTCCTTTCCCTTCTAGGAATTCATTGTTTCTACCACACATTTCTTCACTAATTTTATCTATTCAGCTACTACGGTCTTTTCCCCATCCACCCTCCCACGATATATGGCCCTGCTTGCTCTGCAGCTCCCTTCTGCCAGGCTCCCGCTCTCCCCATCTCCCTGCAGGTCGTGCACCTCTCTCCACCAGTATTCTATCAGCCCAGCCCATGACACCACCTATCCTTCTGCCCACTCACCCATATACCAATACCCTCCAACCTTCCCCACAGGTCCACCTGGCAGGGCCACCATGAGTCCTCCCTACTCGTCACTGCTACTGCATGTTACTTTAAATCAGGTAGAATTAAGGGTGAGTCCAGGTAGAAACGCCATAATCCGCAGTTGCTGGCCTAATCTTCACTCACGGGCTTAGCTTTCGTCACCTGCCACAAGGCTGTCCCTCTTTGACACAGCAGGTTCACCAAAGCAGAGAACTAGTTACAGCAGCCCCAGTCCTGCATCTTAAACAAACAGCTTCCCCTCACAGCCACAGGAGAAAGAGGGGGAGATTAAGGCAGCATGCACAGGTTTTTCTTTGCAGGGCACCTGCAGACCCTCAGTAGGAACAGCCCCTCTACAGGCTGCCTGCGAGGGCCCCAGGCAGATGGGAAATGGGACCTCAAGCACTGGATGAACATATATATGACTGCACTAGGATGCCACCGGGGCACTCTGCTAGCCTGGGAGTTGTCTGTGCAACAGGAGCCCAGCACCCTTGGAACCACCACCCAATCCCCAAGGAGAAGCGGAGCACAAGGAGACGAGGTGGCCAAGTCTCCTGCGGGGAGTGGAGGTAGGTCGAGGGTTTGCTAACTAAGTCAGAAAGACCCCAGTACCACTTAACCCAACCAAGCACCAGAAGAGGACACGGCAGACAACCTAGAAAGCGGAGAAGCAGCTTTGTGAGTGCAGGGAAAATTAACTGTTGATTAATGCCAACCCAACATGCCATCTGTCATCAGTGGGGTTGGATGCCTGAGATCCACAGCACAGACCTCTTCTATTTAACCCATGGCATCAAGAACCAGAGGAAAAACCTTATTCACAGTCCCCAACAGCCCTTGGGCACACGTTTAACACTGACCTCCATTTCAGCTGCCAAATTCCAACAAGTATCCACTGACACCAATATAATTTTTTCACCCCAGGGCTCATAATTGGGTCACACTTGGGTTGCTGAGATTGAGTGTATTTTTGACACGCTACAGTAAACTAAAAAAGCTGGAAGCCAGTGCTCCTAAGCATGGGCACTGAATGGGTTCTCCGAAAGTTCACAAGAGCTTTTTAAGCTTGGAAGTAAAACAACTTAGTTGTCCTCCTCCTCCTTGTTCTTGAAAATCGAGATTGATCATATTTTGCAGAAATCACCCGTGAAAATTAAATAAAAATCTCTTCTGCCTGAAGCAAAGGTCTAGTCCTTAAAATTTCAGCCTGAGTGGTTTGGAAAGCAGCAAAATAGCACACAATTACCACCAGGCTCTTTCAGTGGGAAGTCTCGCACACCTTCACAACAGGCTGGGCTGACAGGTCTGCCTAGGACCATTGGCAGTAACACCGTGTTCCTCTAACCAGAGCAGGAGCTGGCGGACTCCTGAAGTGACGTCCCGATGTGAGGTTGTGACCAGCGCCAATGCTGTCACCTGAAGTACCAACCTCCCTGTACTGGGATTACAAACTGGGTGCCCCGTTTTCCACAGCATTAGACAGAGAGCATATCTCCTCTTTGGAAGATGAGAAACAGCCTCACAAGTGGCATGGTCTGGCATTCAGTTTTGGTTTACGGCTCAAAACTCATAAAATGTCGATTTCCTGAGCCAGGTCAACCCTTGCAATGAGCTGTATTGGGAGTCTCTGCTTACTCATTTGGGATGAATGGACTTCTGTAATGGCCTCTCCCCAGAGACACCTCTGTTCACTCTGCTCATATCCCGATACACATCTTCCATCTGCTCTTATCTTTGAGTTTGCTGGTCCTGAAAGAGCTCTCATTTGCGAGCAAAAGCAGCAGAATAATTCATTTTTATGAATTAATACAGAAAAAATACATTTGCTCTTTCATACCTTTTTTATGCTGACACATCGTAAAGACATGACTCAGACTTACAAGACCAGAGGGACATCTCCCTCTCCGTAGTGTTCAAGCAGAGGTGGCCTTCCTAACTTCCTTTCTTTCTCCATCTTCTGTCAGCCAAGATGCCACAACTTCTCTCCTATGACAAGAAACCTGTTTGGCAGCCTGGAGGTGCCCAAGGTATGATCTACTGGCAAGCATCTGATTTAAGATGATCTTAGGAGTCTTTTTGGGGAGATTCCACTAAAAGCATTCTCACTTATGAGCAGAACAAGTCACTGCAGATGCTTATCTTGTGTGTCCTAAAAACAGCCACCCCAAAGTACTCTTTCTCCTTAGGAAAGCTTTATACGGACCAAAGCACAGTAGCTTAAGGGATGTCTCCTTCTCTCCATGTTTTTCTCACCACTGGTATCAGCTCTGGTCCATGCTCCACTCCCGGGCGCTGTGGAGAGGGGAAAGTCAGAGGCAGTGGAGAGATCCTGCTCCCTTGGCCAGCCTACCACCACCCTCATGGCACAGCAAAACGCCGTGAGGACCCTCTGTGCACAGCAGCCTTGAGCTGGACTGGAGAACATCGACTGGGCAGGAACAGGCAGGGTCACACCAGAGGTTTCAGACCAACAGGCAGAGCTGGACAGCAGGAGAAGAGGCAATCTCTGCTGCTGCTGCCGACAGGCAACATCGCCTGTTTTATCCCCGTGATGTCTGTACCCAGAAGCTGTTGCAACAGGTGTACAGACAAACAATTTTCTGGAAAAAATAATAATTATGAGAGCCCAGATCTCGCAGCCCTCAGGAGAAACTGTTGCACACTTAATCCATGGCAGCTACTTCTTGCCAGGGAAGGGGGCGGGTAGGTGGAAGCTCACTGACGAAGAGTGTCATCTTAGAAAGAGCTAGTATTTTGTATTTCTTTGATTTCACAATCCCTACCCGTGCAGAGAGGATCCAGGCAGCAGGTGCAGTATGAATGTATGAATGCCACCTGGATTAAAAACAAAGCACCAAGTTTGCAAGGATGCAGCATTGACGTTCCCGGCCCCATCACATCTGCAGCACTTCTGAAGAACTGCCAGCTACCAGCAGCACTGGCACAAGCCTCTTGCCCCTCTGCGTTGCCGCTGCTTGTCCCTTCTACCCCTGTTTGATGTAGTGAATCCTTGCTACACCAAGTCTTGCCTACAGCCACTGATAAAACGGTCCAACATAGGCATCCAGGTGCTAAGAGGAGGCGAGGAGGAGATGGCAGGAGTCCTCCTGACCGAGTATCCAGACGCAGGGAGGTGACCTGTCGGAAGGCAGATAGGAGGTGGGTGCAAAGCACTGTATCCCCATGCTCCCGATTCTTCTGTTCCACGGGGGGGGATCATTAGCTGCTTTCCTACGCTCAGCGATGAAAACCAGCCATCCATCCCCAGCTTTGTGCACCTCAGCAGCCTCATTTCTTCAGTGAGGCTGTTTCTGTCAGTTAACAGGACTTGAAAGAACTTAGGTTGAGAGGGTTTCCTTAAGCCTCCAAGAGCAACGTTACCTGGGCAGGTGTGCAGCCTGTCTGGAGGTGCACATTTAATCAGCAGCAATATATTTGGCTACGCACAAAAAAAAAAGGGACAGAAAACAGCATGTAGAGAAGATCCAACCAGCTCAGCGTCCCTGCTGGGACACAGCTTCTCTCGACTTCACCAAGTGCTTTAACATCGCATCCACACAGGTTCTTGCAACGATTTTCCTAGACTCCTGTTTTCATCGAAGAGCTCCAAGACACCGAGCCAAGTCCAGGGGCAGGCACTTTGCAAAGACGACAGAGACAGAGCAACTTGCTGAAAGACACAGCAAAATGAATGTAATGCTAAGCACTGCAGGGAGGAGATGGGGAAAGGCTGAGAGTTTCCCTGTTCCGGTTTCTTAAGGGGCTCGTGCTGGGCATTACAGGCGTGTAAGGGCTCACTACAGCAAGAAAAGTGCAAAACAGGCAAAAGGCTGCATCCCACCATAAAAGACCTTTGTTTTTTTTCTCTCACTGAACTGGGCAATCTGATTTTGCCAACGGCCTCAAAGAGGTGAGCTCTCAGAAGAGAGGCTCTCTGGTCCCTCCCCAGCTCCTCGCTGCAGGCTCAGCCCCATAGAAAGCCAGGCGAAACCTCCTGAGCATCATGTGAGGCTTTCCACCACGCTGCCCATCCCCAGCCCTGCATCAGACGCTCCTGAGCATCATGTGATGGAGCCACGGCACGGCCAGCCTCCGGCGGTACAGCAGGATTTTCCTGCACCTCAGGACTCCCAGGAGTTGGTCATGGTCACGCTGCCTCCTGACTTCATCCCTGAGGTCCCCAGGATAGCTGTAGTGGGGATGAGGCTGAAGAGGGTTTCTGTTCAGCTGCCTGCTTGGGCTTGCTGCGGTGCCCTCCGGTCACAGGCTCTGTCGCACTGCGTGTTGCCTCTCCCTCTCCCAAACCCCCTTTTTATTCTATTAGAGAGAGGAAACAGTTTGGTCACATAATATTCCTCGTGGGACTTCAAATCAAATCCACCTCAGGCAGAATGAAGCAATAACCTCTTCTGTATCTGATCTGGTAATGACCAGGAATAAATCTGTTTAAAAAGAAAGCAAGAGCAAGGGAGAGTGCAAACGATAAACTGGCAGAGATGATCTGGCTTTCATTTTCATTCAGCCACTTGCAAATGGAGTCTCTGGAAAGCTTCGGAGAGCCCTGCACAGACACGGATTATTATTATTATCATCATTAAATCTACTTGTATTTAGTTCATTTTGAAGGAAACATATGCAGCTTTTGATACGCATGGGACTGGCAGCTTGGAAACAGGCAGCTTCTATTTATTCCCTCCAGCCGGCACCACGCAGGCAGCGAAGGACTCCTGCCCACGGTCTCGATGGCGTCTGAGCCCTGGGCGGCTGCTGGAGGGGACCAGCCTCCCCGTACCCATTTATATGTGATTCCATTAAGCTTTGGACCAGGGAAGAGCCCAGGTATGCCCGTACCTCCCTCCCAGCTCACTCTCCCTGGCCAGTAGCCAATGTGGCACCAGCTCCCCAGCCGGGGCTGAGCCGGAGCAGGTGATGGAGGGAAGAAAGGCTCCGCATCCCTAATTCCTGCCACGGGATCTGGGACAGGCTTTCCTGGCCAGTCAGCTTTTTTTTTTCACACATGGCTTAGCAGCCGACAGGCTGGCAATTAACCCTTCCACCTCCTGCCAGACCCATGCTGTGCGTGCCACCTTGAAGAGGGAGAAAGAGCTTTCCCATGGGAAGAGGCCCACTGGTGAAAGAGGAGGCTGTGTCCTAGAGAGCGACTTCAGGAAGCTCCATCCAGTCCTGCAGGTCTCACGCTCTTCCCATGGTCGAACAGCATCTGCTGTCCCACCACTACTAGTGACAACTCCCCATGGCCACATCACTAAGGTGGTATCCAGGTCCTTCTGTGCTTCCCAGATGGTCCCTACATCACCAGGTCACTGCTCAGCAAAGCAAACACCCAAAAGTCATCTTGTTCCACAAGGAAGAGTTCAGTTTACTTTCTAGCAACACATCTTTCTCTCCATGGCTTGGCTGTGCCAACCTAGGTGGAGGACTATATCCACTGCCACCTGTACCTGCTCCTCTCACCACCATACTAGTCCTCTCTGCTGCCTTGTCTTGCCACAAACATTTGCCATAGCCTCATCTCCATGCAATTTTTCTGTTCCTCACCTGTGTGGCTCTCCTGTTCTGAAATAGCAGATTACATATGATTATCTCTTTTTTTTTTGCTCATATTTCTGACTGCCTTTGGTCCCTATGTGCTATTTCTCAGATTTTTATCTGCAAATGCCATTAACGAGAGATTTGTTCCTGCTTCAATATCCTTCCTGGAAATGCTATGCTGGAAACAACGCGACCTGCTGTATCCAACCCCGAATCACCCCGTGTCTCTGCACGTCTATTGCTCATCTTCTGACGTGGTCACTCACCCAGTCCCAGTAACAGCGATCCACAAAAAACCCTTTTGAAGCCAATC